GAATTAAGGAAATAGTCGGACATCTTTGTTAATTATAATAAGAATAATTAAAGACAAAATAAAAAATAAAATAAAATAAAGAAGAAGAAGAAGAATGAGTGGTCCACAACAGTCAACGAAATTATAACTGTGGTTTTTTTTTTTTTTTTTTTTTTTTTTTAATTTAAATTAGAAACGTGGGTGGTTTATAGGGCCCAATCGATTGTGGGCTTTCAAGGAAAAAGGGTCACTTTTTTGTATTGATCGAGGAAAGTGAAGGATTACCAAGAAAATTAAGTGATAGATATTTTAATTAGTAATTTTGTGAAAATTGGAAAGTTTAATGCTTTATGATGAAACTAACCTCTGCCTCAAATACAATATTTTTTTTATTTTTTTATTTTTATAATGAAGGAACTCGCATCCAATTACACAGGTGTATTGGGTAAATTTACAGTGTCGTATACTAGCTTACAAATAATACGAGAGACATAAATCATAATAGACTAACCATTTCTGACAAACTCCAGCTAACAACCAATTGACGAGAATTTGAACCAGATCAGTTAACACGGACTCATTCACTTCAACCGCTGGTCATTCTTTTGCGGGACACCTCAAATGCAATATTGCATTATTGCTGGCACAGTAGTTTGTCACAATGTTGGAAAATTATCTTTAAATATGATGAAAAAGTCCTCATACACTCCCAAAAAATGCAAAAAATAAAAGAAAAAAAGAAAAAAAAGAAAAATTGAAAATTTGAGAGCTACAAAACAACCTAATTATGTTGTAAAATCAAGCGCTTCATGTGTCCTAAAAAGAGTAAGAACAAAGATACCAAAGCTATTGTTTTCATTATTTACATAAGTTCTATTAGATCAGAGAAATTGTTAACCGCTCATATTGTCATACATCTTTCGATCTGTTAGCTTTAAACTAAACTGGTATTTTCTTTTTCCGTGCGATGCACTGGATATTATTTCAAAAGAAAAAAAAAATTAATCAATTTAATACGTAATAATAAGAAAATATAGTCTACTAGCATAGTAAAATTTAATAATATAGTATTATTCATATTTTATATAATATTAGTTTTTCTAAATCTTACATATTAAGATTTATAATCCAAATAAATACATTAAGATTTAACTAATCGAATTTCTATCTTATCTCTTAAGATTTTAGATATATTGATGAAAAATAGGAGATTGATAATTGTTGAAAATTATTGTTAGACAATTAGTAGAGAAAATATATTAGAAATAAATAACTACAGAAGTACCATTAGGGTAAGTATCTTCATGGTTTAGTTTCAATTTCGATAATTGTTAAAAATTATAGATAGAAATTAGTAAAGAAAAAATATTAAAAATAAATAATTATAGTAATACCATTAGAGCTTTTTAGGGTTACCAGAGTTTCTTTCTTTTATATATAAGATCACAGTCATCTCCTTGAGATAAAGTGTAATTACTAAAAAATAAAAAAATAATAGTAATAATCTTTTTAAGAAATTAAAGCCAGCCCCATGCGGTTTCTAAATTTCTTAAATTCACTCCAACAAAAGAGTGTTAATGTAAAAAATCTACAAATTGTAGGGATGGTTGTAATTAAAAAAATGGGTTTTTTGTAAATAGACTTTATCTTAGGGAACAATTATTTAAACAATGTTTAATTTAAAAGAAACAGAAGGAATGCAATTATAGATATTAAAAAAATGTATTCTAAGAAAATTTATTATCAGCCTGGCATAAATAAATACACATATATATAACCAACCTATATTAGTGAAAATTAAGGATTAAAGATTTACAAAAACCTATTGAAGGTTATTTGTGGAATAACAATAATGCTTATTACTTAATAGAATTTTTTAATTCACAAATGTGGTTAACAGCTATGAGAAGGCTGGAACTTAATATTTTCACCTTCCCCTTTAATAGTTAATACTGCTAGCTGCTAAGTACTTAACTGTAGTGATTTATTTCCTCTTAAGCAAAATATCACATTCATTAACGAGATTATCGTGATATTATCACGAGATGAGAAGACATTAGATATCGTGACTCGATATGAGAGACGCCTTCCAATTATTAAGCAGTGCTTCTAATGTGCGCTGAGAATGAGGCATGTGATGATTACTGGCGCACGATTCGGAACCTCTTACTTATAGTCTTTTGATCCTCATTTTTTTTGAGTTTGCAGAAGGGTCCCTTAAAAATATTAGTATTTGAACTTGTGGCCGAAAATTAAATTAAAGCTATTTGATTTACTTTAAAAGGGTCCTTGGAAATGTCACTTTAGCCTTTGAATTTATGGTTGAAGACCAAAATAAACTATTTCATAGAATTTTGATGGTCCCATATATATATATATATATATATACCATAAAAATCCTAATAATTTAATAAAATATTAGCTTATTGATAAATTAATAATTATTAATTTATACATTAATTAATAATTTATTAATTTATGAAATTATTTTTACTATTATTTAGAATAAATACATTTGTTTTAAATTGATGTGTATTATTATTCATTTTACCATTAATTCAATCATCAATGTACTATAGATCCCGTTTCTCGAACGGAATCTCTTAAAGCAATATGGTATTGAACAATTTTTTGTTGAATTATGAGAAATATACCAAAAGTTCGAACCATGTTAATAAAAGTGAGGGACGTGATTGATGGCGATGTGAACCTCAATAAGAAATAAACGACAATTAAATTATATTTTATTAAGTCTTCATAGATCTATAAAATATATACTGTATGAATTATATAATTTAAGAATTATTTTTATGCACTATTAATTTATATATTACACAATGCTTATTAAAATTTTCGAATGTGTATTAAGTTATAAATTTAACGCATGCTGTCTAGGAAACCATAAATTAATATACTTTAACTATATTATCAAGGGGAAATATGCAATACACCCCTTGAATGAAAAATATTTTGAACTAAGCCCAATTGATTTTTAAAGACTTTTCCTACACCCAAATTTCATTTTTAATTAGTGAGACCCCCTCTCTACTAGTGTGAGAAGACAAATATACCCTCAACTACTATAACCCTAATTATTTGCCCACATCTATCACTTTCATCTTCTCCACCTCTCCACCTCCTTTAATTCAATCCGGAAATTCCAACCTTCATCCTCCGGCGTTGCAACCGCCGCTGCCGCCGTGCCACCGCCGCACCGTCGCCGCCGAGCCACCGCCACTCATTGCCGTCGTCGCTTCCCCCTTCATCTCCACATAAATATTTTTCTCTCTCGTTCTTTATCACTCTCGGTTTCTCTCTCTCTTTACACCACCATCGTCTTCACATAGATCTTTACACCACCACCATTGCCGCCCGTTGCCACCGCCGCGTCCTTCGTCTCTTGGTAAGGTTTTTTTATCTCTCTTTTGTTACTTCTCTCGATTTCTCAAAAAAAAAAAAAAATCAGATCTGTCCACCACCAACATTGTAGCTGCCTTCTCCACTCTCTCTTTCATTCACCGTCGTTGTTGCCGCCTCCCCTTCCCTTCCTTTCGTTATTTTCTGACTTTTTTTCTTTTTTTTTCTCCCAGATTTGAAGCAGCAGAATTAACGTGACTATAGTCTGGTTCGAATATGACTATTGCTAATTCACTCGATTAGTGATTTATTAACCTCTCTTACTCGCTTTCGTTCACCGCCGCCACCGCCGTTGTCGTACTCTCGCTTTCGTTCACCGCCGTTGTCGTGAACTCCCCTCTTTCTCTTTTGTTATATTTCTCTCTCTATTTGTGTATTTTTTTTCAATTTTTTTCCTTCAGATCTAAACTATGAGCAGTAACATGACTATAGTCATATTCGAATATTTTTTTTCTCTCTAGATCTGAACTAGCAGTAGTAATATGACTATAGTCATATTTGAATATGACTACAGTTTGAATATGACTGTAGTCATATTCAAATATGTTCCATATTTTCGTTTCAAGTTGACTTGTAATAACAACATTCAAATTGTGATTTTTTTGTGTGGATGTTTTTCGTAAACAATAGGCAATTTTTGTTTTTTTTTTTATATAATTTGGTAAACATGACTCTGACATTATATAATCGGAATTTATAAATTGAAAATATAAAAAGCAGCTATATAAAAAATAAATATGACTACAGTCGATATAATCATATTCACCTATAGTCATATTCGGCAAAATAAACAAGTTGAGAAAAAAAATCAATTTTTTGTTAAAAAAAATTAAAAAAATATTTTAATTAAAAAAAATATTAAAAAATAAAAAATAAAAAATAAAAAATATTTAAAAAATAAAAATAATGCGAAATAAATCTGAAATAATAATAAAAAAAAAAAAAAAAGCGAATAAATCTGAAATAATAAAAAATAAAAAATATAATATTCAATTTATTTATTTATTTTTGATTTGGTAGCATATTTTTAGGAATTTGGAAGCAATTTTTTAGGGAATTAAATTGTTGTTATGGAAAGAGAGAGAAAAGGAATAATTGAGACAAATTATGCTAATTGACTCAAGGGTATTATTGGGAATACAATTTATAGGGGGTTATCACAAAGAAAAATTTAAGGGGTGGACATATCACCATTTATTAGCTATATGAGGGGCTTATTGCTAATGACCCCTATTATCAATTTAACGAGGTTCCACTGTATTTATATTTATAAGGATCAAAGTGATTAATTTTCTAATAAAAAACTAAAAGAAAAGGTAAAACTACTAAACATCTTATCTTCTCACATCGTATCGTATCATATCGTGGATATATCGATATATCACGCGTTTATCAAATATTTTTCCCATATCACTCGCAATAATTACAATGATTAGCTTAAGTAAAAGCTAATTAGAACTAGTAATTACGCCACTAAACCACTACTCCCCATTTTCCCTCATCTCCTGCAAATCTCCATGGAAGCATTTACTCCACAAACATTCCCACAGATTCCTCACTTTTAATCCAACAATCTCTGCCTTCTCAAAGAATTTTATCAAACCCATTTTCTCTCTCTAGCTTTCTCTCTCCTCACTCTCTCTCTCTATAAGCAAAAACCTCTCTTTGAATCCAAGTCTTCCTAATTTAGTGGGGTTCCTTTAGAAGTTCAACTATTCGTTCGCTACTCGCTTTTGCTTCTAATGGGTTGTTGTTGCTGATTTTGATTTCCCTTGATTTGCTGTTAAAACCCTACTTTTTATCTTTATTAATTTCCATACGCGTTTCTTTCTCTGTGTTGCAGAGAAAAAGACAGAATCTTGATTTTTCCTCTTCTGGGTTTTATTTGTTTCTATTAATTCCGTTTAATTAACTGCTGAAACCACCCACATTTGAGTTTTTGTTGATGGGTTCTTGTTGAGCAGAAAAAAATCTGTAATAAAAATGAGATCTTTTACTTCATTTCAAGTTCTACTGCTCGGTTTCGGACTCCTCGTTGCGAACTGCGCCGCATTTCCGAAAGACGAAGGCGAGTTTTTTTTTTTCAGCCCTACATTTGATTTTAGATCCTGATTCTTGAATTGAATTGCTAGTTTTCAAGAATTTATGTATGTATGTATGCTGCCCTTGTGTAATAATTGTTTGATAGTTTTGTTCAATTGACTGTAATGCGAGGGATAGTGTTCGATTTTTTTCGTAATGCAAAATCTTGGATTGTAGTTTCGCTTACCGAAGAAATTTATCGGGTTTTTTTCTTTTTTTTTTTTTGGGGTTCAGTTGATGCTTTAATTTCATTCAAGAGAGCTGTTATTGAGGACCCTTTGCATCTTTTGTCGAATTGGAATCCCCTTGTCTCGGATTCTTGTAGTTGGTCCGGCGTTTCGTGTTCCGTTAACGGAGATCATGTCGTGAAGCTGTAAGAAATTTTCGCTCTAATGTTAGTAAAGTCGACATTTTTTATTTATTTTGTATTGTACATTTATGATGCTACTTGGAATTGCAGTAATATATCCGGTGGTTCTTTAAGAGGTTTTATTGCACCGGAATTGAACAAACTCTCGAGTTTACAAGAATTGTAAGCTTTCTTTTTGCTTTTATGAATTGTACGATAAATTTAAGTTCTTATCTGTAATACGTTAGGCTGATTGTGTATGTGCCCCGATGAACAGATATTTGCATGGGAATTTGTTGTTCGGTACAATACCTAAAGAAATCGGGATGCTGAAAAACCTCAAGATATTGGATTTAGGCAAAAATCAGCTCACGGGAACAATTCCAACCGAAATCGGAAACTTAAGCAGCATCGTGAAAATGTTAGTATATAATAAGATTTTGTTTTCTGCATTTGCTTTTCCATTTATTTCCTGTTAACCCGTTAGATTTTTTTTTTTTCGTTCGCAGAAATTTTCAATCTAATGGGTTAACCGGAAAGTTACCATCGGAACTCGGTAATTTGAAATACCTTGAGGAACTTCGACTCGATAGGAATAAGCTTTCGGGTAACATACCTGTGATCAATGGCTCCGATTATTCCTCCAATACCCATAAAATGTAAGAATATAAAAAAAATACTTTTGTGTGATTCCGTATTTACTTGAAATAACTTATACTATAAGTGCGGTGATACGAACCGATGTTCGTATCGCTGAATTTGTTCCGTTTTTGGTCAACTGTATCTAATATTTTGGTCTTTGTATTGCCGAGATACTTTCTTTGAAAAATCTTGAACGATCTATAAAATCGAGACGTAATTAATTATCTTATTTGTTATTTGCTTCTCTGAGTTTACTTTCGATAATTACTTCGTAAAATTTGCATTAGGTATGCTTCAAGCGGTAGCCTTACGGGTTTTTGTCAGTCCTCCCAATTAAAACTAGCTGATTTCTCGTACAATTTTTTCGTCGGAAGCATACCCAAGTGCTTGGAGTATCTTCCTAGGTATTTTACGTACTCGTATTTTTTCTCGTTTCATTTTACATTTTTTTTAATTTCTTGTATTTAATATTTATTTTTTCGAATATAGATCAAGTTTCCAGGGTAATTGCCTTCAAGAAAAAGATGTCAAGCAGCGTACTACTGCTCAATGCGGTACGTAACCTGCTCGTACTTTTATTACAAAATAAAACGGTACTTTGTTCCTTAAATCAGAAAAATAAAAAATAAAATCATAAATGATATTTCAATTTTATTTAAAAATTTCAACAATATCCAGCTGCCATTGCTCAACCGCCGAAAGCTCATTCGGAGATTAACGCAAAGAACACGCCCAGTGAAGACAAATCCAAACACGACTCATCAAAGCCCGTGTGGCTCTTTGCTCTCGAAATAGTGATCGGAATTACGGTATTTATCCTCTTCGCCGTTGCTCTTTTAACCATCGTCCAAAAGTGTAAGAAAAAACGTCCTTCCATCACTCCCCCGTGGAAGAAATCCTCGAGCACTAAGGACTACACAGCAATTTTCATAGGTTAGTGTCCGGAAAAAAAAACGGAGTTAATAAATAGAGTTTATTGCATTTAGTACCCCTATATTATATCAAATTGCTGAAAGAGTCTTCGTGTTATTAACATTAGCAAAGAAAACCCAATAATGCATTTTTTGGCTCGAAGCCCCCTAAATGGTGAGGTTTTAGCGGGCAATTTGCTAAAAAAAGTTGCATTACAGGGGTATTTTTGCTAATATTAATAATACGAGGACTTCTTTAGCAATTAGAGTAAACAGAGGGGTGCTAAATGTAATATATTGAGTTGCTAAAAAAGTCCCCTTGTTATTAATATTAGCAAAAAAACCCTATAAGGCATTTTTATTAGCGCACAACCCCCTAAATGGTGAGGTTTTAAGGAGTCATTTGCTAAAAAAATTGCATTGTGGGGTTTTTTTGGCTAATATTAATAACACGAGGACTTACTTAGCAATTAGAGTAAGCACAGGGGTGTAAAATGTAATAAGCCCATAATATGCAATGCACTAAGCAAGAAAAAGGCTTACGCAGATTCCGAAGTACTGAAGGATGTAGCGAGATATAGCAGACAAGAACTCGAAGTAGCGTGTGAAGATTTTAGCAACATAATCGGATCCTCTCCCGATAGCCAGGTGTTCAAAGGCATTTTCAAAGGTGGGCCCGAAATTGCCGTAATATCCCTTTGCATCAAGGAAGAGCATTGGACGAACTACCTCGAGCTTTATTTTCAAAAAGAGGTATCTTTTTTTTTCTTTTCTTTTTTTTTTTTTTTTTTTTTTGTGTAATCGGAAAATTTTGCTTATATTAAGGAATATATGCAACTTTTTTTTAGGTGGCGGATTTGGCGAGATTGAAACACGAGAATGTGGGAAAATTGCTCGGCTATTGCAGAGAGAGCAATCCGTTTACAAGGATGCTTGTGTTCGAGTATGCTTCGAATGGAACATTATACGAGCACCTCCATTGTAATATTTAATTTTTCGTCTCTATTTTCTTATTTATGAACTCATTGCAACAAATTAAAACAAAAAAAAAAAAAAAGTAATTTTTTTTTTCTCGAGTGCAGATGGAGAAGCGTGCCAATTTTCTTGGACGAGGCGCATGAATATTATTATTGGGATAGCCCGTGGATTAAAGTATCTCCACACTGAACTCGATCCATCTTTTACTATATCGGAAATGAGTTCGAGTTCCGTTTATTTGACCGACGATTTTTCTCCCAAGGTGAGAGGCTGAGATCACTTTGTCAATTCATATGCATACAAACTTCTTTTTGTTCGAATTAACAAGAAGTCGAAGGTGGTGTTTGCGAAATAAACTTTGTTTTTTTAATTTATTTATGTGAAATGTCTAAATTGCCCTTATAAATGGAATTTTGGATTAGGAAAATAAGGATTAAAATGTCGAATGCGTTTATTAAATTCCGAATACCCTTGATTAGAATCGTGGATTCGCTACTGATTATGTTCGACTTTCGTTTTGCAGCTGGTTGATTTTGAGTGCTGGAAAACAGTTCTTTCGAGATCGGAAAAGAGCTCCGGGACAATAAGTAACGAAGGTGCCGTTTGCCTTCTCCCAAATTCTATGGAAGTACGGAATCTCGATATTCAAGGAAACACGTACGCGTTCGGTATTCTATTACTCGAAATCGTCAGTGGAAGACCTCCGTACTGTCAAGATAGAGGGTGCTTAGTCGATTGGGTAACTAATAAAAAAAAATTACGAATTTCTCGAAACTTTTTTTTTTCCTTTTCGTCCAAACGTTACCTCTAAAAGGCAATATTTAAAAATTATATATATTATTATTATTATTGCAGGCGAAGGAATATTTGGAGATGCCGGAGGTTATGTCGTGTGTGGTGGACCCCACGTTGAAACATTTTAGTGACGAGGATGTGAAGGTGATATGCGAGGTGGTGAATTTGTGCATTCATCCTAGTACGAGCACTCGTTCGTCCATGCGTGAATTGTGCGCCATGCTGGAAAGTGGCATTGACACATCACTGTCTGCCGAGATGAAGGCTTCTTCTCTTGCTTGGGCTGAGCTGGCGCTTTCGCCGTAGCGGCGAATTTACTGTAAATCGAGACGTATACGGTAGCATTTTTTTTTAATTTTTTTAATTTTTCAATTTAATTTCTTTCTTGAGGTGTTTCTGAGTTCTTGTAAATGATGTTTGTTTTGAGAAAATGGAGGTTTTGTCTAATTCTTAAGACACATATTCTTGTCTAAGGGTTAATATTTCTTGCATCTTATATTCATCACCTAATTGTAAGAAAAAAATGATGAAATATTGAGCCATGTATACATATAGTTTTCAATATTGAGATTTTAGAGTCATAATATATGGCTTAATCCCACGTTGCACCCCTTAAATATAGGTTTTTGACACTTTGTACCCTCGAAAAAAAGTAATAGCAGTTTGTATCTTCGAAACATGATAAATCATGCGTAATGTAACTTGAATGAATTTTTAAGCTAATGATTGTAATTTAATATTTCTAGTGGTATGCTTTTAGAAATTTAATTCTTTTGAAAAGAGAAAATGCAAAAATAAAAATATGTCTCATCAATAAATAAATAAAAATCACAAAAAAAATTATTTTACAAAGAACCAAAACGAACTACATCTATTTTGTGTTATCAAGTTATTTGAAAATTATATTTTCTTTCAGAGATTTCTACCAAATATTTTAACCTTGTGATTTTCTTTTTTTTTTTTTTTTTTTTTTTTTAGCATTTTACACGATCAGATTTATGTTGGAGGTGGAAGAAAATAACATTTGAATTTGTTATTTTGCACACTGAAAATAAAACACCAATAAAATTAAAATTACTCTGATTAAAGTTTTAAATATTCAAATCATGGTGCATTATGAATAATTTGTTGTATTTCGAGTGTGTAAAGTGCTATTAATTTTTGTCAAGGGTGCAAAGTGCAAAAGGCTATATTATAAGGGAGAAAAGTGGAAGTACGTCAATAATATTTTCATAAAAAATATCATATAGGGCATGCCAGCTAAAATCATGAACTCTATATACTTTCCAGAAAGTACTGAAATCTGACAATTCTATACTTATCCAATTTTGCTAAAAATTGAACTAAGACAAATGCACCAATAAGAATGAATCAATCTAAAAAAAGGGCCAAAAACAGGTGGAATAAATAAAGTGGAGTGGGGTTGAAGTTTTGTGGTTTAGACTTTTTCATTTTTTTTTTAACATAAATAAATTTAGATTTTAGTGGGATGCAACTCCATTTCTCCACATTTTTATATTAACTAAAAAAATTAAAAAAAATCAAAATCAATTAGTAGTTTATAAAAGAATCATAATCATTGTAATTGAAAACTTAATTATAGTTAAATTAAAAAATCACAATTTCAGAAATTTAAATGAAAAGTTTGTTCCAAAATTAACTTTTTGTTTTATCGGAATCAACAAAACTCGTTAATTTTACTTTTTACTCACTTATAACGTAAAATTAATACTATTTTTGATGTTATCAGTGTAATTTTTGAAAAATTGAAAACTTTCAAAATTATTTTGTGTGATTCTAAATTGAATCAAAAAATTAAAAAAAGAAAATCATATAAATTCCAATTTTTTTTTATAAAACATGGAATCCAGAAAAAAAAAATCTTATTTCTAATACGGGTTGGATTATCTCAAGTTCCAAACAATAAAAAGCCTAAAATAGAGGCAAAGTTCATTCCCTTCTGGCCCACGTAGAGTAGTCATAGGCGTGACAACAAAAGGTCCACTTGTGATTTAAAAGGAAGTGATCGCACTCGCGAGTCCTCCCCATTTAAACGTGACAACTCGCATTCAGAATTCAGAATTCATCTTACTCTCATTACACATTTTAAATACGCATATATCATTTTTTCCCACAATTTTGACTGATTTGATTGTCGGAGTGTGTTGGGCTAAATATCTAACACGCAAGTGTACGTATCGCAAACAAGTAGTAAAAGTGGACTCGTGAGAGTCGGATGTCGGTCCCACAGGGAATAATCAAATTATCTAATCCTAAGTACCAAATTCTAACAATTGTGATTTGTATCCAGCCTACGCAAGGTTGTCAATTTATTCAACTAAATAATTAAACTAACTGTGAAAGCAAATAAATACGAGAAAATATCAAATATAAAAACGGATCTAGAATTTTATCTTCCCCCTATGCGATAATTCATCACTCAATTAACCTCTATCATGCAAGTTACGATTCCCGATTATTAACCCGAGACACTAAATTACTCATAACCCGCTGTCGCGTATATTATGAATCTATTATTCATAAACGAATCACTATATGTCTATGCAAACCTACTATGAATAAAGCATTAAATAACAAGTCTCGAAAACGGCTACCTAAGGTATTATCTGTATGTCTACGATAACACATGCAATTAACACACTCATCCGGTGAAAACTACTCGAAGGCTCTTCTATCCTTGTTCTAATTATTAAAACGATCTGTCAATCAATTCTAACAATAACATATATCAACATAAATTAGCTACGTTCATGCGCTAAATAAGATCAAATAGAAGAAATAATCAAGGAATTTAAACTTGCATAATATTAGAAAAATAGGTTTGAATCACCACATAGGGTTCCAACAAAATCCTAGATTAAAAACTTAGCTACTCATGTTCTCTACGAAAAGCATAATAAAAATACGATAAATCATAAAAGTTCGTAAATAAAAGTAAAGGGAGAACAATGATTAAGATTCGTCAAGTCTTTGTCTTCGTTGCTCCGTTCTCTTGCTCCTAGATTGCGTGTAAAAAGATCAGCCCCCGATTGTGTGCTTCCCTTGGCCTTTATATAGGGTGCAAAAATATAAGAGGGCGGTTTCCTTGTGTAATTAAACTTCCTTCACTGCGCTTCTTCGTGAACTCGAACGGCCGTGTCAAAATTAATGCTGAAACTCGGACGGCCGTCCGAGATTCAATTCTTCGAAGTTTTGATTTCTTTACTTTTGGCCCACTTTTTCTCCGAAATTGTAGTGTTTACCTTATAAGTTTCCAATTCTTCAATTTGTACCTACAATACAATTAATAACCATTTTAAGCACCAATTATCGTTAAAACACACCAAAAGCTCCAATTAAAAGGTACGATTAAGTGTAAAAATATACACTTAACACACCCCAAAACTTGAACTTTTGCTTGTCCTCAAGTAAAATCAATTTATAAGCAAAAAACTCAACTATACATCTCATTACATAGATCAATTGATCAATTTCACGTTTTCAGAACTTGTAATTATGATGACAATTCTTAGGCATTCGCAAGCTCAACATTCAACGGCACTTAGTCACTCACTATCACCAAAAACCACAAATCATACAATTGCTTCAAGTATCCAATATTTGCAAATTAAAGATAGAAATAATTTTGTACTTACATGCATATATTTGACTCCAAATACTCACCAAATTATTCTACTCAACTAATATTGAGCATTAAGCTATTGGGATCATTGGGACTTTGTGGCTTTCAATTGTTAGGCTCTTTGGTTCGAGGTAGGGAATATGGGTATATGTGGCTATTGTTCTTGAATTGAGGTGATTACGCCGAAATTTGAAATACAAGCGTTGAAACAATGAAATCACCTCTAAGGACTTTAACGAACTCGATTCTCAAAAGTTCAAAAGTCTCCACTTTTGCTTTTGAGGCAATGGATCGAGCTTTCAAAACAATTCAACACTAGTCCTTACTTCTCCCTTCTAGTCTATTCTTCCTCTTTTTCTCTTTTTTTTTTTTTTTTTTTTTTTTTTTTTTTAACAAAGCAAATAATAAAAAGACAACTAAAACAAAACCTAAAACATGCAAACTAACAATCAAGCGAAACACAATTAAAACGCACATAAAAGAAAACAAATAATTAACCACCCCCAAACTTAAAATTCACATTGCCCTCAATGTGAGTCGCCCGGAGTTTAAGGATAGAAAACACATGTTTAAGCGTCTGGACCATCATCGGGTTGCTCACCAACTCCACCTTGCTCATGAGCATCACCATCCTTCTCATCCTCCAATAGCTCGGGTACCGGCTCAAGAACTGGTGCGGGCAACGGATCCGGTTCGGCGCACTCGGGAGTACCGCACGCCAAATGGCGCACAATGGCTTGGAGCATCTTCCCCGACCACCGTTGAAGAGATTCGATTGTGCTAACTTTGTGCTCCACCGTGGCTAAGTAATAACCAACTCTCGCTCAATTCTCCTTTGAAAACGGCGGTCTGAACTTGTGCTTGGACCCTCGGGTGGAGCTAATTGTTGGCCATCGACGGGTTGCTCTCCACCATAGATCGGTGCCTTGAATTGTCGGGCCGCAAGGTTACTAATCGGCTTCCGAATTTGTGTGTCAATATCCGTCGTTTTGGTTGGAACCTTCGCCTTCTTGCATAAGCCGGTAACGAGGCAAGGGAAATAGAACCCTTTGGAGTTGTTGGTCATGGATATCCAAAAGCGGTCGGATATGATTTCTCCAATATTGATCGGTGTGCCCTTTAAAATGTAATATGCAAGAGCACACCTTTCATGGTTCACTTGAGTCCACGAGCGGGTGGGGATGAGGTTAGCGCATATGAAAGTAAGGCACGCCTTGCATATTTGGTGAATGCATTTCCACTCCAACTCGTATTCCTCATCGGTGGAGAATTCGGACCAAATTGGGGGCCCATCGCACAATACCTCGCCGAGTTGATCTTTTGTTACTGCGAGTTGCATTTGTTCCCAATTGAATGGCTCATGTCGGGTGTTGTAGAAGGAGTTGTTGGCCTTGGCACTCCAATCGACCCGCTTCCCTCGAACCGTGCTCGTCTTCCTATCCGAAGTTAGGAGGATACGGGTGTTGGCATAGAACTCGCGGACCAAAGACAAGTTTATCGACTCCTCCGGTTCCAACAATGATTGCCACCCTCGTCGTATGAATTCTTGATTCAACGGTTCAAATTGCGGTAGGGTGACCGTATATGCGCGCTCCGTCACAAGTTTCTCCACCGTTTGTTTTTCAAAACGGAGCTTGGAGCCTTCCACACAAAAGGCGTCTTCATCGGGAGTTGTAACTTGGTCGGCTTTCTTGCCCTTCCCCTTTCTTTTTGAAGTGCCTTCTCCTTTTGAAGTGCCTTCTCCGTCACGTCCTCTTTTTCCCATGATGTGAGAACGCCTTGTGGAAGGGATTGGAAGTGAATTGGTGTGCAAAATTGCCCCCAAACTTGACTCGGGCAAATTGTCGAACACCTTGTGGGTGTTCCTTGTTGAATGAGTTTTTGGAGAAATTTGCACCTTTCTTGAATCCTCCCTGCAAGGATCAACAAAAATCCACAGTATTTGAGTGTTATGTGTGTGTAGTTGGTGAATTTTGGGCGAAATTGTTCAAAGAAAGGGGAAAATTTTTAGAGGAGGAGGCTAAGGTTCGAAGTGGGAGAGAGAGGGGATTTGAAATTGTGAAAATTGTGGTGTGGAAACCCTTCTTTAATATGCCCGTTTTTTTTTATTCCGCACGGCCGTGTGACTAATCGTACTGTTTTCCGGTACGGCCGTGTGGAAATTGAATTTTGGGCAGTAGCCTACCGTTCCTCGCACGGCCGTGCGAGATTTCAGTGTAAATTCCGCACGGCCGCGCCCCATGTCAATTTTTGGCAGTAGCTTTCTCCGATTCTCAGACGACCGTGCGAATTTTCAGTTAATTTTTCGCACGGCCGCGCCCCACACCGAAATTATACAGTAGCTCCTCTCAAATCTCACACGGCCGTGTGAGATTTCTGCCTTTTTCTTGCACGGCCGTGTGAAATGCAAAAATTGCATTTTAACCCCTGAAAAATAAAAATTTCTTATTTCGTTAGGGTGCATGCTTTTCAATAAAAAAAAACAAAAAACTAACAAAACTAAAAAAAATAAAAGAAAGAAAAACGAAATCTCGGGTTGCCTCCCGAGAAGCGCTAAGTTTACATTCTTCAGCCAGACTTTGTCTGCTTCTTTGTTCAAGCTAACGTGATCGAGGTCACTTGGCGATTGAATTCCCCTCCCCGGTAGTGCTTGAGGCGTTGCCCATTGACTTTGAAAGACTTTTTGGTTTCGGAGTCCAATAACTCGACTGCGCCGTGCGGAAATACTTCGAGTATAGTAAACGGTCCGGACCATCTTGACTTGAGTTTTCCCGGAAACAACTTTAGACGGGAGTTGTAAAGGAGTACCAATTGCCCCTTTTGAAATTCTCGATGCAATATCTTGTTATCGTGCCAACGCTTGGTTTTTTCCTAGTATACACGATTGCTTTCATAAGCATTCAATCTCAATTCATCGAGCTCGTTGAGTTGCATCATTCGTTTCTCCTTGCATGCTTCAAGATCGAAATTCATTTTCTTAATTGCCCAAAACGCATTATGCTCCAATTCAACCGGTAGATGACACGCCTTGCCATAAATGAATCGAAACGGTGTCATCCCAAGTGGAGTTTTGTAAGCTGTACGATATGCCCAAAGTGCGTCGTCTAAATTTCTCGACCAATCCTTCCGGGTAGGACTCACAACCTTTTCGAGGATGTTTTTGATTTCACGATTCGTGACCTCGGCTTGCCCGTTCGTCTGAGGGTGGTAGGCCAATGCGACCTTGTGCTTTACACCATACTTGGCCAAGAGTGCTTCGAAGTGTTTATTGCAAAAGTGAGTGCCTCCATCACTAATAATTGCTCGTGGTGTTCCAAAGCGAGCGAAAATCTGTCTTTTCAAGAAAGCACAAACCACTGCAGAATCATTAGTAGGAAAGGCGGCCGCCTCAACCCATTTAGATACATAATCGACGGCCACTAAGATGTATAGGTTATTGAATGATGGGACAAAAGGCCCCATAAAATTTATTCCCCATACATCGAAGGGCTCAACTTCGATCATTGTATTTAATGGGAGTTCGTGCCTCCTAGAAATATTACCAACTCGCTGGCATCTATCACAACTTGAAACAAAATTATAGCAATCTTTAAACAGAGTTGGCCAAAAGAAACCTGATTGAAGTACCTTTCTCGCCGTGCGCTCACCTCCATAATGCCCCGCATAGTCCGAGCCATGGCAATGAAAAAGTATATCTCCTTGCTCGCTTTCCGGTACACATCTTCGAATGACTAAATCACTGCATTGTCTAAACAAAAAGGGTTCTTCCCAAAAGTAGAAATTCACATCGTGTAAAAACTTTTTTCGTTGATGAAAAGTGAGTTCAGGTGGAAGCACATGGCTAACTAAATAATTCACAAAATCCGCATACCATGGTACTTTTTGATTATCATCAACAAGCAATTGTTCATCCGGAAAGTTTTCATTAATGCAAATTGGATCTTTTAATTCCGTTTCTAGCCTAGATAAATGATCGGCTACTTGGTTCTCGCTAACCTTACGATCACGAATTTCCAAATCAAACTCTTGCAACATAAGACCCACCTAATAAGTCTAGGTTTTGCTTCTTTTTTTTTCTATCAAATATTTTAAAGCCGAGTGATCCGTAAAGACAATGACTTTTGTGCCTATAAGATATGATATAAATTTTTCGAATGCAAAAACAGCTGTTAGCAACTCTTTTTCAATGGTGGTATAGTTTAATTGCGCCTCGTTTAGAGTTTTACTAGCATAGTAAATTGAATGAAATTTTTTATTCTTTCTTTGACCCAACACGACACCTACCGCATTATCACTGGCATCACATATGAGTTCAAAAGGTTCATTCCAATCAGGCACAACAATTATAGGAGCAGTTACTAACCTTGTTTTCAAGTCGTCGAAGGCTTTGAGGCATTCGTCATTGAAGTCAAATTTGACGTCCTTCTCCAACAAATTGCACAATGGTTTGGCAACCTTAGAAAAATCCTTGATGAACCGCCTATAGAATCCCGCATGTCCCAAAAAACTTTGAATCCCCTTTACGGAAATTGGTGGCGGTAATTTCTCGATTGTCTCGATTTTTTCTCGATCGACTTCTAACCCTTTCCTTGACACCTTGTGTCCAAGCACAATCCCTTCTTGTACCATAAAGTGACACTTTTCCCAGTTGAGCACCAAATTTGTTTCTTCACGCCTGCGAAGAACCTTAGCCAGTATTTGGAGACAAGTGTCATACGTATCACCGAAAACAGAAAAATCATCCATAAAAATTTCAAGACCACATTCAACCATGTCCGTAAAAATTGCCATCATACAACGTTGAAAAGTAGCAGGAGCATTGCATAAATCGAAAGGCGTACGTCTAAAGGCAAAAGTACCAAAAGGACAAGTAAAAGTGGTTTTGTCTTGATCCTCGGGAGCTATGGCGATTTGGTTATAACCATTAATTCATTTTTTTCATTTTTTATAACAGTCATCCCCCTTTCTTAGGTACACATTGTACCGGACTAACCCACGCACTATCAGAAATAGGAAAAATAATACCTGCGTCTAACCACTTGATGATTTCTTTCTTCACAACTTCCTTCATGATGGGGTTCAATCGCCTCTGTTGTTCCACTGAAGATTTATGGCTCTCCTCCAATATGATCTTGTGCATGCAAAAAGTTGGACTTATGCCCTTGATGTCGGAAATAGTCCATCCAAGTGCTAGCTTGTGCTCTCGCAAGATATCCAAAAGTCTCTTTTCCTGCAGACCTGTCAAAGATGGAGAAATAATAACAGGTAAGGTATCATGAGCTCCAAGATACATATATTTTAAATGAGACGGTAAAACTTTAAGCTCAAGTTTCGGAGGTTCAATCACTGAAGGCTTAAAAGTGACAGATAATGGGAGCTCCGTTTCCAAACTTTCAAAGCGTGGTCTTGACAGCGGCTTTGCTGAATCCAACCAACATAATTGTTCCGTCACTGCTTCTTCCTCAACTGATGTTCCTACACTCAAAGATGCTTCCAACGGATCCGCAATTAAAGGTTCAATAAAATCAAAATTTAATTGATCTAACACATCAAAAGCAAAACACTCATCACCCTTTTGAGGGTGCTTCATTGTACGGAAAACATCAAATTTAATCGTTTCACCCCCCAAAGACATAGATAAAATCCCATTATACACATCAATTATAGTTCTACCCGTTCTAAAAAAAAGTCTTCCCAAAATCAAAGGAATTTCTTTATCTTCTTCCATATCAAGAACTACAAAATCTGCAGGAAAGATGAATTTATCTACTTTAACTAACACATCCTCTACTATTCCTTTTGGGTATATGAGTGATCTATCGGCTAACTGTAAAGTCACAGATACCAATTTTATATCTCCTAATCCCAAACTTTGAAAAACTGAGAAAGGCATGAGATTAATGCTCGCTCATAAATCTATGAGAGATTTTGCAAAGAACTTACCTCCGATAGCGACTGGAATCGTAAACTTACCCGGGTCTCCAAGCTTTGGTGGAATTGGGCGAGTAAGAATGGCACTGCATTGTTCGGTTAAGGCTATCATCTCATGTTCACCGAATTTCCGTTTCTTCGATACCATGTCTTTCAAAAATTTTACCCAATGAGGCATTAGTTCAAGTGCTCGAGTAAAAGGAATATTAATATGTAATTCATTCAATTGCTCAAGAAAACTTTTGTAATACGACTCATTCCTTGCCTTTATCAGGCGTTGAGGATAAGGTACCTACGGGGTCGGCTTAAGCGCAACGACCGTTTTTTCACCTGGTGGATCTGTCGGAGTCTCAACTTCTTTCTCTTGTTGCTCCCATCCAACCTTGCTTGTCGCCTTCTTCGTCACTTCTTCCAATTGTCTCCCATTCCTCAAACTTATGGCTTTGCATTGCTCGTTGATGCCCTTTCGAGGATCTTCCGTGTTTGACGGTAAAGTACCGGTTGGCCTCGCGTTTAGTTGGGTTGCAAATTGACCCATCTGTGTTTCCAAATTTCGGATGGATGCTTGGGTAGACATCATAAATTGGGCCAAGATATTTGCGAGGTCTCCACCTTGAGGTGGAGCTTGAGGCGGATTTTGGAATCCGGGAGCTGGCCGTGAATAACTAGGAGGTTGACCTTGAGGTGGTGCTTGCCTTTGTCCTTGCTGATTTCCTCCCCACCCAAAGTTAGGGTGATCTTTCCATCCCGGGTTATAAGTGTTGGAGTACGGGTTCCTCTGTTGTCGGTTGGTGTCATGCACATAATTTAGAGACTCCGTTTCTTTTACGCATTGGTCGGGAACTTGGACTGCATGGACTTGCTGAGTCTGCAAAGCCGCTACTTGCTTTGATAGCTTCTCTAACTGGGCCGTGATTGCAGTGACCCCGTCTAACTCCAAAATTCCTCCCGTTTTAACGGCTCCGCTATTTGACCGATCCGATGCCCGCATGTATTTATTTCTAGCGATTCGCTCCAAAAGTTCGTATGCTTCGTCGTAGGTCAAACTCATGAACATTCCTCCAGCTGCAGAGTCGAGCACGGTCCTCGAGTTGTCTTGCAATCCATCGTAAAATATTTGCAGTTGGCGCCACTCTTGAAGTCCGTGATTCGGGCACCTCCTTATTAACTGTTTAAACCGCTCCCACGTCTCGAATAATGCTTCACCTGCTTCTTGTATGAAGTTTTGTATTTCTCTCCGGATTCTCTCAGTTTTTGTTGGGGAGTTGTATGTGTTCATGAAGAGTTGTGCTAGCTGGGCCCAAGACGAGATGGAGTGCGGTGCGCGAGTTTGTAACCATTCTCGGGCTGCTCCTTGTAAAGAGTGCTTGAACAGGCGGAGTTGCAGTGCTTCGGGTGATACTCCGTTCATCTTGTGCGAATCACACGTTTCGAGAAAGTTGACCAAGTGGAGATGTGGATCTTCATGAGCTAGTCCACTGAATAACCCATTGTTTTGGAGCATAGTGAGGAGTCCCGCTCGAATTTCGAAATTGTTGGCTTCAATGGGAGGCTGCTGGATGCTTGATTGAAACCCGTTGAGTGTTGGAACGGTGTACTCATGCAATGTTCGTTGACGAGGTGGTGAATTAATTAGCTGACACGAGGTGGTGAATTAATTAGCTGACGTTGCTCTTGCTCATTGACGATTTCTCCCGCCGCATTCGGTAGGCGCACTTGGTCATCTCCCCTACGATTAATCTCTTCTTCCATCGTTGCGGGAGCGTTTCGAGCTAACCGTTGATTTCTCCTGACTTGCCTAAATGTTCGCTCAATTTCGGGATCAAGAGGTAGCAAGTTCGTGTCGTGTCCTCTTCGCATAAAAAGTACCTAAACAAAAATAAAAAAAAATAAGATAAGCAAATAAAATAATTAACTAAAATAAATAAAATGGCTAAAGTAAGAAAAATTGCTCAAATTTAATATTAAGATAAATAAATAATTTAGCCGTATTCCCCGGCAACGACCCAAAAACTTGTTGGGCTAAATACCTAACACGCAAGTGCACGTATCGCAAACAAGTAGTAAAAATGGACTCGTGAGAGTCGGATGTCGGTCCCACAGGGAATACTCAAATTATCTAATCCTAAGTACCGAATTCTAACAATTATGATTTTTATCCAGCCTACGCAAGGTTGTCAATTTATTCAACTAAATAATTAAACTAACTGTGAAAGCAAATAAATATGAGAAAATATCAAATATAAAAACGGATCTAGAATTTTATCTTCCCCTATGCGATAATTCATCACCCAATTAACCTCTATCATGCAAGTTACGATTCCCGATTATTAACCCGAGACACTAAATTACTCATAACCCGCTGTCGCGTGTATTATGAATCTATTAATCATAAACCATTCACTATATGTCTATGCAAACCTAGTATGAATAAAGCATTAAATAACAAGTCTCGAAAACGGCTACCTAAGGTATTATCTGTATGTCTACGATAACACATGCAATTAACACACTCATCCGGTGAAAACTACTCGAAGGCTCTTCTATCCTTGTTCTAATTATTAAAACGATCTGTCAATCAATTCTAACAATAACATATAGCAACATAAATTAGCTACGTTTATGCGCTAAATAAGATCAAATAGAAGAAATAATCAAGGAATTTAAACTTGCATAATATTAGAAAAATAGGTTCGAATCACCACATAGGGTTCCAACAAAATCCTAGATTAAAAACTTAGCTACTCATGTTCTCTACGAAAAGCATAATAAAAATACGATAAATCATAAAAGTTCATAAATAAAAGTAAAGGAAGAACAATGATTAAGATTCGTCAAGTCTTTGTCTTCGTTGCTCCGTTCTCTTGCTCCTAGATTGCGTGTAAAAAGATCAGCCCCCAATTGTGTGCTTCCCTTGGCCTTTATATAGGGTGCAAAAATATAAGAGGGCGGTTTCCTTGTGTAATTAAACTTCCTTCACTGCGCTTCTTCGTGAACTCGGACGGCCGTGTCAAAATTAATGCTGAAACTCGGACGGCCGTCCGAGATTCAATTCTTCGAAGTTTTGATTTCTTTACTTTTGGCCCACTTTTTCTCCGAAATTGTAGTTTTTACCCCATAAGTTTCCAATTCTTCAATTTGTACCTACAATACAATTAATAACCATTTTAAGCACCAATTATCGTTAAAACACACCAAAAGCTCCAATTAAAAGGTACAATTAAGTGTAAAAATATACACTTAACAGAGTGCTAACATCGAAAAACTCGTCCTGACTCTCATTTTTTGTAGGTTTCTTACAGATACGTGAGCTTCTTCTTTGAAACTTTCGGGTTCGAGGCTAATCCCATTCATTTATCTTTAATTAGTGGTATATGCTACATCCTATTTAAAATAGCAATATTCATGATTTCGTCTTCATTTTTATTCCTAATTTCCAACATTTAACTGTGGTTGGACAATATACATACGTACCTATAAAAAAATTGCACCACCAAAGCTAATTAATTGCGTGGACAATACCCGTGTGTAAAAATAAATTATTAATAGGTAGGCAATTCCATCATTGAGAGAATTGTGTTTGCGCTTTGTGATGGTGAAGTTTGAGCCGAGTTGTTGTGCTTGTCAAGTTATATATATATATATATATATATATATATATATATATATATATATATATATATATATATATATATATATATATATATATATATATCTTTGGATATATATCTCTCATAAATTAATTAATTATTTATTTTTTTCAGAATTTTAAGAAAGATATTGTTATATACACATGTCAGCGTCAGAATTTCTCCAGTACCGAACGTGGCTGATGGATGCTTTCTCTTTTTTCTCCTTTTCTTCTGTCTTTACTAAAAGCCTGCAAATTTAATGTTTTGCACGTTCAAATTATTAACTAGTAATTGAGGTGGTTTTGTGTTATTAGTGTTTTGTACTCGTTTAAGTCCTCGTTTGGTTGGAGAAATTAGTCATATTAACTAAATAATATGACTTTATTTGATGTTTGGTATTCACAATAACTTGTCGGGTCGACCCACAAATATTATGTTATCATGGCTTATCTTGCCTTCTAGACATGTTTTTTATTGGATCATCGTAGGTCTAATAATATAATCGGGTTTCATTAAATTATTTTATTTTATTTTGACTAATCTTATCTTGACAACCAAACGAGGCATAAGTGTAAAGGCTTCGATCTGTTACCACTATTAAATTCTACCAAGTATTAACTAAATAGCTAGAGAGTAGAAAATTAATCTAATCTCGAAATCCAAATTAGTATGACATTTATACTATTCTCCCTCGGAAGAAATACATCATGTAGATCTTTACATTTATAAGAACACAAACATGCACACATACACTCACATTAGTGTCTGTAGATCAACAGTTAAAATTCACCCCGTATAACCTTCACCGAATGTAACATAAAAATAACCATTAATCAATATAGGTATTAGAACGAGGCCTATGTTGTTTAGATAACTATAATTTGGTTCAATTTCGAATTAAGAAACAATTGCAGATAATTTTGAAGAAATTTCGTTTGAATTCCGAGAGGATCGGAACTTAGAAGGGCCCGGTATTCCCACGATCATATATATGTTGCACCTGATAAACATACTCTACTCACATCCAATAAAAATCAAACTCATAATCTTTTTATCGAACTTTGTTGTGGGAGATATTTCAGTACCACTTAAACTAGACATTTATGATAACGAATATGAGTTCCTAGTACTATTAGGCCTCGTTTTGTTGTTAATAAGATTAAATAATCTAATAAAACACAATTATATTATTGGACCTTCAATGATTCAATAAAAAACATACCTAGAAAGTAACATAAAACATGATAACATAATATTTAGGGATCGACCCGACAAATTATTAGAGATATCACATTAAATAAAATCCAATCATTTAGTTAATCATCTCTAATCTACCAAACCAAACGAAGGCCTTTAGATAATTATTAAATTTAGGGTAAATTACAAACACCCGCTCTGAGGTATGACCAAATTACAAAAACACCCCTCTTGTTTGGATAATACACCACCCCCCTCAACTCATCAAATTTAGTGGAATCTTCGAGATTATATGAAATATTATCACTTTTGTACCCGTTTTATCCCATTCAAACTCTACATTATGAAGCAAGATGACCATAATATGTGATTTTTAGCTTGTATATATCAGTTTGTGGTGCATCGAAAACTGTATTTTTTACACAAAGAGTACAAACTAGAGCACATTTCACGGAATCTAGATGACTATGTTGAATTTGGCACCATAAATGTAAGAAAAAATCATAGTTGAGGGGGGTAGATGTAATTATCCAAACAAGAGGGGTGTTTTTGTAATTTGGTCATACCTCAGGGGGTATTTGTAATTTACCCTTAAATTTATTAAGTAGTATATTACAAACTTCATGTGCAAAACCAAAAAAAAAAGAAAAAAAAAAGGAAATATAAAAGAATGGAGATCACGTGATACCGCTGGAATGCACCCTCGCCACGTGTCCAGTTGCAAAGACCCAACAAAGCACGCGTCGCACCTGATCAGAACCCAAATTCAAAATTTTCACTTTTTCCCTCCCCCAAAATTATATCCCCTCGCCCCTTTTCAATCTCAATTTCCGCTCACTTCACACAACCCCCAATTTCCCGTACACAGAAGCAAAACCCTCACTCACTCTCTCTCTCTACACTCTCTACCTTTCTCTCTCTAGAAAAAATGCGAGAAATCCTGCACATCCAGGGCGGCCAGTGCGGCAACCAGATCGGAGCAAAGTTCTGGGAAGTCGTCTGCACCGAGCACGGGATCGACTCCACCGGCCGCTACCAGGGCGACTCCGATCTACAGCTCGAGCGAGTCAATGTGTACTACAATGAAGCCAGTTGCGGCCGCTTCGTTCCCCGAGCCGTTCTCATGGACCTCGAGCCGGGAACCATGGACAGCGTCCGGTCCGGTCCGTACGGCCAGATCTTCCGGCCGGACAACTTCGTCTTCGGCCAGTCCGGCGCCGGGAACAACTGGGCGAAAGGTCACTACACTGAGGGAGCTGAGCTCATCGACTCCGTGCTCGATGTCGTGAGGAAGGAAGCTGAAAACTGCGACTGCCTCCAGGGTAATAATTACCTTTTTGCCCTTCCCGTGTTCGTTTGTTCAATTTGGTGTTTGTATTGTTCTTCTGTTGTTGATCTGTTTATGAAATAGTGATTGTGTTTATTGAAGTGTGGGTAGACTGGATAATTCTTAAAATAGTCATAATGAATTATTTGTTTGAGTATGATTGAACTTGTTAGGGTTTGTTATTGTTGAAGTTCCTTTGTTGGAGTATCATGTATATGCTTATTGTGTGTGGATCTGTTTTTTTATGCTCTGTATTTGTAGTCCTTTTCGTTTTTACTCCTTGAAGTTTGTAGGTTTTTGTGAATATTATTACTTCATAAACTTGCTCTGCCGTTCACATTTTTTTCAGATTCGAGATATAATTCGATATTAGTAACACCTTTGTTCTGGTTTTTCTGATGAATCTGTTGTATTTTGTAGGATTCCAAGTATGCCATTCTTTAGGAGGGGGCACAGGGTCTGGAATGGGAACCCTTCTGATATCAAAGATAAGGGAAGAATACCCCGACCGAATGATGCTTACATTCTCTGTCTTCCCATCTCCAAAGGTGTCTGACACAGTGGTAGAGCCCTACAACGCAACACTTTCAGTACACCAGCTTGTCGAGAATGCCGACGAGTGCATGGTCCTCGACAACGAGGCTCTTTATGATATCTGTTTCCGAACTCTCAAGCTGACAACTCCTAGTTGTAAGTGCTTAATTTCCCTTTTATTATCTGTCTATTGCATGTCATCCTTTCACTATGAAGTGAAACTATGCTTTTGGAAATTGCTCTCTTAATTAGATTTTGTAATCAAGGAAACGACGAAAGAATAAAAAGTATGTTGGGTTTAATTAGCTCTAGGGTAAGTAGTTATCAGCTCTCCAGTCCTCATGCACAAAACACTTGGCAACTAATTACAGTTATACATGTGTGTTTAAGGTCGCCTTATTTTGGAGTGCTTCATATCCAAAGTTTGTATGTTAATCTTCGATTCAGTGTCATTCTCTGAAATCTGACTTTAAATGATAACTATTATTTGCTTCAAAATGGATGGTTTATCTGTTTTGCAATTCTCATGGTTCTTTTATCTAATATTGATGTGTATAATCTTGCACTTTCAAGTAAATCAGTGCCTTTCTTTATTAGTTTTGTAAACCAGAAAGCATGAAGATTATGATGAGTTTAGTCAGCTCTAGCTTGTAGAGTTTTCAGTTCTCTGGTGCTCGTCCTTTTTTATGAAGCATAGTTAGTACTACGGTACTGAAACAAAGTAAAAGGTGTTTGTTGATTGTTGAGTGGTGACTGATTACTGTTATACATGCTTGTTTGGGGTTGTCTTATTTTAGGGTACTTACATATCCAATCTTTGTACTCTTAATCTTTGTTTTTGGTTGGAAATGTCATTTAACTTGACATGTTAAACTATCTGTGGTCAATATAGCATTTCTGTTCTCTGTGTTATATCCTTTGTAATCTGACTTCAAATGACTAATTTATTAATGCTTTGATTATTTTTTTGGTTAGTTGGAGACTTGAACCATTTGATATCTGCAACCATGAGCGGTGTCACATGCTGCCTACGTTTCCCTGGTCAACTGAACTCCGATCTCCGAAAGCTGGCGGTCAACCTAATCCCATTCCCACGTCTCCACTTCTTCATGGTGGGCTTTGCTCCACTCACCTCCCGTGGCTCACAGCAGTACCGCGCACTCACCGTACCGGAACTCACCCAGCAAATGTGGGACGCCAAAAACATGATGTGTGCTGCTGACCCCCGCCACGGTCGCTACCTCACCGCCTCAGCCGTTTTCCGAGGCAAGATGAGCACAAAGGAAGTGGATGAGCAAATGATCAATGTCCAGAACAAGAACTCGTCCTACTTTGTCGAGTGGATCCCGAACAATGTGAAATCCACAGTTTGCGACATTCCGCCCACTGGTCTGAAAATGGCTTCCACTTTTGTCGGCAATTCGACTTCCATTCAAGAAATGTTTAGGAGGGTGAGCGAGCAGTTCACTGCTATGTTTCGAAGGAAGGCTTTTCTGCATTGGTACACTGGTGAAGGCATGGATGAAATGGAGTTTACCGAAGCTGAGAGCAATATGAATGACTTAGTTGCATAGTACCATCATTATCAAGATGCCACTGCAGATGAGGAGTATGAGGAAGAAGATGAGTACCAAGAAGAGGAGGCTTGAGCCAGTACTGGATTGAGTGTTCGTCTTTTTTTGGCAGCTGTATAACCTCTATATGGGCCTGATTGTGGTGTATGTTTGGATATTTTGATGTTTTCTGCGTTTATCAAACTTCTTTTAACTGTTGTGAATTTACTCGTCGTTAATTAGGATTTGCTGAACTATTTTGTTTACTATCTTTTATCGGATACAGTCTATTAGTTGTGTGTAGCATTTTGTTAGTTCTTGATTTTCCTTAAACTTGGCTTCTATTAATTACTCTCTTATTTTTGCCTCTCATATTCATCTGTGTAAGATTTCTCGTAACTTGTAAACATCGACATTTTTACCTGCTAAAAGTTAACTAGGAACGTAACGTTCCCGAAATTGTTGCTTAGAACTTACGAGTTTAGAACAGCTATGATTATACAGTTGTTGAGTAATGTTCTACGATTATTCCCCATCCAACATGAAATGTGACGAACATGATTAAATGTAATCCAAGAAAATTAGTACAACAATCACTTTTCAACGAAATTCTTTTGAAAAAAAATATCATTTCAAGGATTACATTCGTAAGAACACAGAAATTACAAAAGGCCACACAAAGCCATTCGTTTTTCTCGAGTGCATTTACATCTTAGAGCGAGGAGAAGTTTTTCTTGTGGACTCACCCACACTTCCATCAGATTGCAGCTTCTTCATTTTCTCTTTAACTTTGAAAAGGATTGAATGTACTTCATCAAAATGAGGCCTCGTTGCTTTCTTTGTATCATCGATCCATTTCAAAACTTTTGGGTGTGGGCCCATTATTCGTTCTCGATCCTTCTCATCCACAAGCTTTGTAATAAGAAAGAACAAACATAACATGACATCATCGTCTCAAAAAATTCTTCAAGAACGTAGAGGAAAAAAAATAGGATCGAAAGTGTAATAAAAAGAAGATTTGTACCTCAAGCTGCATGATTTCACACACTAAACTAAGATCAGCAATCGAAGGTTGGAAGCTCCCGAGTAAGAATCGACCTTTTCCCTTAAGCCACACAGTTTCAATCTTCATAAGAGAGGCCGAAAGAAGTTTCTCTCCTTCGGCTGCTGCTTCTGGATTCAGAGGCAGCCCAAGTGCAGGTGCAAGTGTCGAATTTAGTACATATGAAGCTGCAAGTGGAAACATAAGCATTCATTACAAAGAAGCTAATAATAACCAATCAAATTTTAGCGATAATATTGCCATTAATCGAAATACAATCGCTATAAAAAATTTAAAAATAAAATTGAAAAACCCAAACGTGTAGAGGTCAAAATAAACACCTGCCCCACGACGTAAATTCGAGTGATGCCAATCCAGCACCGAGTGAATTTTTGCTCTCGTGAAAACGTCGGCAGGGTACCTAAAAGGATAAGAGCATTATTATGTTGCAGAATATGACCTTCCACACATAATTTTCCGAGAGATAAAATAAGCTTTATTATCGATTTATTATAAAAGCATTCTATAAGATATCGCCATGTTATCGATTCATTAATTCTCGTAATATAGTTTCTACTATGCGTATTGCGGAGTTTATATCAAGTTAGTCATTCATTACACAAATGACATGAAAAGCTAATGAAAACAACCAAATCTCGTCGACAAAAGTCTAAACATAGGCCTTTTTAAATTACATAGACGCCATATTATTTATTCGGGGAAAAAACCATATAATCGAAGATAAAAAAAAAACCTCACCAATGATCAGCAACTCCGGGAAAGACACAAGCCAAGTACATCAGAATCGCGTGACTGCAAAATACTCGAGAAAATGTGAAAACAATAGATTCTATAGATTGTATAAAGAAGGCGAATGTAACGACGAATTAAACGCGAATGCGGAGAACAATTATATTCCATTTGGCAGCACAATCGAATAAAATTTCCGTATCCGATACGATGAAGGGTTCATCTATTATCTCAAAAAGAATTAAAAAATTCATTTTCTAGAATAAGAGAGCACCTCTCAGAAAGCTTGAACCTTCCATCCACCATCGCAGGCACTTTCTTCATTGGATTTATTTCTGTCAAAAAATAATAATAATTAAAAAAAAATTAATAAATTACTTCAACATAATCAAATTCAAATTTTAGTACCTCGAAATTCAGGAGTTAAATGCTGCCTCCTGGAAAGGTCGATTTTCACTTCTTCGAAATCTATCCCATTCAATCTTCAAAATAAAAATTAAAAAAATAAATTAAATTATAAGTTCTTTTGATCTCCAAACAACGTAATTGAAAGGAAAATCAAAGATTCGTATGTTGAAGAAGGTGAGGAGTGGATCGGTAAGAGAAATTACTTGCAGAAGATTATAATTGCGCGCGAAGGTTGGGACATACGATCGGCATACAGTTTCAGCGTCATCTTCTTCGATTTTTCTGATTTTATTTTTTTGCTTTCTAGCCGAGCATCAATGGCGGACACTGTAATTGAGGGGTGATCTGTCTAGGTTTTGTTCGTTGATTTTCAATGATTGTACTTTGGGTTTTTGACTTTCAGCTGTATGATTGGAATCTGGAGAAGAGAAAGTGGTTAAGGTAGGGGTAGAAGAGAAAGTGGTTAAGGTAAGGAAGAGAAAGTGGTTAAGGTAGGGGTAATCTGAAAAAATCGCAATATTACAATGGATTTATTAGGGCTAACCCCATTGTTGGAATTTTCTAATGACATGGGTCCATTTGATTTTTCACTTTTTGTGATAGACCCAAATATGTCAACTTGGCAAAATATATGACTTGATATACCTATAATGTCCCTGTTACCATATGAACGTGATTTCATGTAACTGTTTTCTTGCCTAAAATCACGGAAGGAAGAAATCAACGTGACTTTTAGGCTGATATTATCGTCTTTTTTCCATTCAATTTCTCAGTCCTGGAAACGATTGATTCGACATTGATTGCATCAAAATTGGTCTGCTTTCTCGTACATATATTGTTAGATGTGAGTATTCTTGCGTGGTTCTGTTTTTGTTGTCGTTTTTTGATCTCGTAAATTTTTTATGTGTTCTTTCTCGTAGTTTGATGATTTCGTTCCCATGGATTATTGAATTTGGATGTGTGTTTGTGTTACAGTTTTTGTTCGTAAGATCCTATTTTGTTGGTCATAAGCGATGTTAGTCCCGAATTTAGGTTCAGCAATGGTGATGTTTTTTTGTCCAATGTGATATACCAGAGTCGATTTAATATCACATGATAGTAGATTTCAGTTCACGTAGTCGAATTAGTAGACTATCATTCATATATTATTGTACTACCATGCGATTAACAGACTATCATGCATATATTAACATACTACTAAACTAATAATAACGCACAAACATTAGGACTCCATCATTCATATATTAATGTACTACCAAGCGATTAATAGACTATCATTCATATATTAATGGACTATCATTCATATTTTAATAGACTATTATTCATTTATTATCCAATAGGTGAGTTGTTGTTTGCCGGCGAAGGATTTCCAACAACGACGCAGCGAAATAAACCCCTGTCAGTGGATTTTTTTTGGGGGTTATGAACGAATACACTCCATTAGTCGATTAATTAACCAGGCGTTCCTTCTACGGTGGTGTGATGGTCCGGTGAAGTCGGTTGCGCCGTCGTCCCACGGGATGTGATTGCTGGATTTCGGCATCTGGTTTAGAGAGGATTTCTGGATCTCTGTTGCCGTCTGTAGAATGGGGGTAGTGGATTAATGGGTAGTTGTTTTGACGATATTATAGGGAGTGATTTCTTCTAATTTTCAAAAGGTAATGTAACGTGATTTGTGGGATTTTATTCAGGGCATTTTTGGTATTATAAAAAATGTGGGTTTCTCTCAAATGGAAAATATAAGATTGGATTTATCCCTATTTTTTGAAATTCTCAGGGGTTATATCTAATGGACCCTATTACAATTTGCTTGGCCTGTTGCACTTGTACCCTACTATATCTTTTGGTTAGAAAACCGACCTACAACCCATTTGTGGGTTTCAAATGTGACGTATTTGTCTTTCTTATTTCTTGTTCGAACTTCGGCTGCACTTTGACGATTGATCATGAAATTATGGATTGAAGTTCGAACTCCATTTGCTCTATCTTTTCATAGTTGACGATTAGTTGCAATAAGATTTATAATAATATGAAGATAGACAAGGTGAGGCGCATAGTAGGTCGCTATCTTAAGACGAATTTCACGATCCCTTCTCATATGAGGTGCAGAAAGGTTCCGATCGTTTCGCTTACAGGGATACAACGGCCCAGCCTATCACTCCGCTGTAACTTCACCGAAACTGCACGTTCAAGTGAAGAAGAAGCTTACACCCGACACACAATAAAAACTCAGAGTATGTTTATATAATATAGAGAATACATGATTTTTAGAAATATATTTTTCTTTCACTCTTTTTTATTCTCTCATCCATTTTTTCAAGCCACAAAGCCACCCTTTTATAGTGTAAAATAAGGTCATCATAAAAGCTATATTTAATATAGAATTAGGGAAATTTATGGAGGTTTTACGAGCAAATAAAGTTTTTGAAAATTTCAAAATATTGGTCCAAATGACCTCATAAATTGGTCAAAGAAAATATTTAATAAAATATTTTTTATTTATTAAAAAACTCCAACATTTCTTACAAACTTAATATATTCCTTTTCCTTTCTTCTTCAACAATTCGATCATCTCTTTACTCAATTCAACCATCTCCTTTGTTCCCCCTAGAATTAGCCGTTTAAGTTGTGCCGGGTAGAGTTTCAAGCTCGAAAAAACCATCCCAACGCATCAGAAAACAGAAAAATGTGTTAGAATTTTCAAATTTAGCAAAAAAAAAAAAAAATTGAGTAAAAAAGAAAAAGGAAGTTTGTCGAAATCGAACCTTCAAAATATGATACATAACGGCCCTGCATTGCAACATGAGTTTGTCGAAATCTCCTCATTCTCCTTCCTTGATCTTCCGGTCTTTCTCGTCTTCGGTTTCTCTCTCGAGAATACAAAACGTTGCGACTTACAGTGATTTCAGAACAAAAGGACACAAATATAAGGTTGCTTCTTGTCCGAAAACGTTATGGGACACATTTTTTCGAAAATATTTGTCGGAACACAGTTGTTAGAAAACATTGTTTGATGAAAAAATAAAATAATAAAAAACATTTTGGGAAAAATAAATAAATATATATCGAAATCGATTTTGTTAAAACACATTTTTATAATTTTTTAAGTGAAAATGAAGTATAGTCATATTTCTGATACAATGATGAGCATTTCAGATATACTGATGAGCATTTCAGATATTTCAAGACAAATAGGAAGCTACTCTAAACAAAACTTAGAAGGCATAGCGCAATTTTTAAAGTATAATATTCACGATTGAATCTTAGGGCATCTCCAAGGTTAGAGTTAAAATTGGAGATGGTATATCTATAATAGCTACTCAATAGTGTTATAGCACCTCCATTTTTACTATCATACTCCAACCATCATCAGCGGTATGAATTAC